AATAATAATAATAATAATAATAATAATAATAAAATAAAAACAATAAATTATTAATTACTTAATTAATAATAATGATTAATAATTAATAACCTTAGATATACCAGAATTTTTACTTTCTCGTTTATTATTTACACTTTGATAATCTATATCATTTAAATATAATCGAATGCTCATTCATTTGGCTATATCATGAATTCTTCTTGTAATTCTATCTCCGCCTTTCTCTGAACCGTCCATTATATCTTTTAATTATAGAAAATCATCCTTTTTAGTATCTAAGAAAGGAAGAATTTAACCCTTACTTTGGTCCTAATTAAATTATGCAATACTTCAATTCCTTCTATTAAGTCTGCTACTAAACAAACTCCTCGAAACTTGATCGAGTTATTTGTTGGTGGAATTCGTCAAATCTGGTCTCCCTTTTGGGACAATATGCACCCAACTAAGTCGCCATGACTACACGACCAAGTTGCAATAACGAAGTAAGACCACTTGTATAAGGTTAACTTGCTGGGAAATAATTGTCCTCCATTTCAAATGCATCTTTGTTCCAAAGCTGCCTATCAACTCGCATGAAAGTGTATACGATGGAAGGGGTCTCGGGTACTGTGCCAACGTAAATGTCGCTATGCCAGTCGACCCTAAGGCAAATGAAACTCTCAAGGCAAGTTAGGTTTCACCAACAACAAATTTGTTTTAGTGGGATTGTCATTTAGGTAATTTGTATTTGCCACTACAATTGAAATCGTCATTAATATTCACTCTGAATAGGCTTCAGTACTCAATTAATATAAAATAGAACTTTATCGTAACATACTCATTATAGATTTTTATATTAAGGTATTGCACCATTTACTTTGTTGTAATATATTATATTATTTATATTTTTTGTTAAACTCAAATATATACAAGTCCTAGCTCCCTAGGTACTTCATCAACGCCAATTTGTTAGATTCCTTTCAAAAATTATCATTAATATGTGTTTATACATAAATGTCAGAAAATGCAGGCGTTCATACTCGAATCCTCGTCTCATTCCATTCGTATATTACGTTATGGAGCACCCTTATTTTACTCACTACAATAGATAATACAAATGGGGAAGTGGAAAGATGATTTATTTTGGGAAACTGGTGATCGTGGGTCTTTTCATACGAAATATTATGCCATTTAAACCCATGACTCCACTTTGCAAGCTCAACTTTGCCCAGACCATAGAAAAGCATAAAAAAGTTCCACAACTTTATAAGGGTAAACAATTGTTTCGCTAATGCGTCCTGGCATCTTAGCAATTTTTCATCGAATTATGGCCTCAACATAAACATTCATCCTGATTCGATGAAGTGAAGAATGACTGTTACTTAAATTTTTCCACAATGGTATGACTGAACCTTAGGTTTCTATTGCTTCTAACATAGCCCTGCTTCACATAAGGTATTCCTATCCAGGGTCGACTTCAGTTTCGACCTTATCTTGGTCTCTCAAACACCCACACTGGGACTCGTATAATCTTAACACGTTAATCAACTATCCTACATCACCTAAGCGAAACAGGGTCAATACATCTCGTCTATATGATTTACTGGTAGTCTAGACAGACTACTTATTAACGGGAAATAGGTAATCTAGTCGATTGCTATGGAAAATACAACTTTGCTTCATCATAAATCCCACCACAGATTGTGGTATGGGAAAATTGCTGATCTTCGTTTGAATTCATATCTGCCCTCTGGCCAAAGGGCAGAGGAGTGCTGATGAAACCTATACGAAGTCGAAATTGCAGTCCATTTCGGTCTAGATGAGAATAACTTTCGGGAAACAGGACTATGTGAAATTCAATGAAAACGTAATGTCTACTTATATCATTGTGGGAAAATTCAACTATCAGTCCTTTATCGCCTTGACGGGACAGAATAGATACATCTCAACATAAAGGTATTTATGCTTTCTCATGTATTTTCGTTGCAAATGCTTTTTTACAAGTTTTACTGTTGCTTTTGTGACCAATTCGCTTGTTCACTTGAAGCAGTTCTGTCTTATCGCGTGCCTTATCATGTGCCACCGTCTACAGAAACGAGATGGGGAGGCTTGTGGTCCCACTTTTGATGGCATTAGCGGAGGTCTAAACGGGCGAACAGGCCTGAACACGGAAGTACAGTTGGATTCCAAGCGCAATGAAATTGGTCCTAAGATCAAGTCTACCTTCTTAACCTTTCTAAGCGGTGCAATCTCTCGGACGATAATATTCCAGTCTCGTGCCCTCAACGGTAGCTTTAAGGTAGGCATAAGTACGGGATAAATGTAAATAAACAATATCTGCATTTAAACGATCCATGTTCTTTACAAATAAATATAGCATATTGTTTGGAAAAAGAGGATAAAAGAATGGAATTAAAAAGAACAAAGAAAAAATAATACATAACTCAGTTGCCTAAATAAAAACAAACAACCACACACACACATACACACACATCGCACACTTGTAGGCCCTCGGGCATGCATAAAAGCACGCACAAGCA